ATAAGTTTAAAAAAAGGCAGCGGGAAAGCTAGTAATGGATTTCAGAAAATTTGACTTTTCATTTACTTCTGAAGATCCCCTTTAAATTATTGTCTGCTATGGTCTTACAGTATAAATTAAACAACTAAATCATTGATCAATGATTAAAACCCAGAAGTTATTCCATCTATAGAGAATCCTAAAAACAGCCGATGATGAGCGAACATTGTTCTGAGCTGAACAAGGGCAATTGTGAGGCAGAAGCTCCTAATCCCTTGTGTGTTGTGTCAGGACTAAAATGGAAACTATGTGAAGCACAGTGAACTGGACTGACAGCGCTCCTCTGGGCCTGTGCTGCGGGGGTCGGCCATTTCAATAACAAGGGCCCAAAGCGCAGTGACGAGCAACAGGTTCATAGACTACAGAACACGGAGGTGATGAACGTAAGCATAGGGACAGTATGACAATTAAACATTTGGTATTCAGTATTTTGAATGGATAATAATTGAATGTGTAATTAAAAGCGGCAAATTGTTTTTTGTATTCTTTATAGTTGTCATTTGTTTTGGGTTATGGAATATTGAAGTTGCAAATTAATATGATCTCAATTGATTTGATAAAACAATATAGGAAAAAACTGAAAAAACTGAATGGCCTAAAAAATCCAAGACTGATTTTAGGCCAGTGCCATTCTGCAAACTTACAGCCCTATCCAATCATGAGTTACAATGAAATGTAGAAAAAGAAACTTTCTGGCATAACTTGCCCATTTCTCAAACAGATAGAAGATATTCTCAAAAACCTAAACCCAGATGCACGACCTCTCCTCGTTGTGAAATTACAACATCTCCTGCTCAAGAATGTGAAATTTGTTAAATGTGAGTCTCCTAATCATTTCTTTTGTTTATTGTCAATGCGTTACAGTTGCATAATCAGTCACACAGCAGATCACAGAGGGGCCATTCTGTTTGTACACAGCCTCCCCCTTTGGCCTTGTCTGAGGACAGAAGGACAATGCTACTTTGGCTCATCTCATGTGGGCAACAGAAAGAGCAGCGCGGTGCATGGCTGTAATGCAGGGACTGGCTTTAATCTGCCAAAGAGATCTGACAGGGCAGAATCGACGACCAGGGCGTAGCTCGCCAATGTCCTCTACAATCTCGCTTGTGTAGCATCTGCAGTCACTGAGGACACACACTTCTAATTGGAGGGGGCCATCTTCCTACATCTACACGCTTGGATCATGAGGAAAGTCAAAATAATAATGTTTGTCACGGACGCACGGCATCAATTATCGCCTTGTTTTAGACTAGTACAGTTGGTTTTCTTGTCCTGGGAAACAAGTCTAGACATGTTGCTTTGACCAAGGCTCTGAGTGAGTCATAATAGGATAGCATCATGGCAACCATCACAGCAATCACTAAATCATTACATCTTGCTGTGTAAAAGGCAATTTGTGGAAAAAACATTTTTTGAAAAGCTCCTCAAGTTATGAATCTATGGATTTGTTTCACTAAAAACCTAAAACACCATTAAGGTAAACCTGCAGCTCATTTTACTAGACTACATCCTTGGTATTTAACATTTTCTACATCATGAAAAATATATTCATTACAATACAATTTTCTGGTGTTCTTAATACAACCACATTACTAGTTCTGACAGAAATGGTTAACAGCCTGCCCCCTCTTTCCATTTTGAAGCGGTCTATTTGCGTCTCAGGTCCTTGTTGAACCATGGCAACCCTCATCCCTGCTCTGCCTAGCCTCCTTGTAATGACCGACTCAATCAATCACCCCTGGATCAATACACTGAATTCACCCTGATGCTGCTTTTGCTTCTTCCCATCAATCGTATCGGCTGTCCCCAACACGCCATAATACAGTTATCTGAGCCATCACCTTCTTCTGTGTGCGTGTGTGTCACATTATAAGTAGGCTGGCATTTTCCAAAATGTGTTGCTAGGATTTTGCTCCAGCCATGTCCTTCTGTGTGATTAATAATACAGTTGCATTTCAGAAAATCATTAGGCTGCGTTTCATAGAGATTGACTACTTATAATCTGTTAGCGTGAAAGTGTAAGAAGCATCAATCGACAGCTCAACAACAACCATAGCCTTTTTTTTTATATATTAAGGAATCTCATCTTATAATAACTAGAAACACAGAGCACAGACCTACAAGTCTCTGCAATCTGCATATAAGCCGTTTATAAGTGTTGGTCAAGTTACTCTGGAATGTTGATTAAATTACATATTTCTGATTACTTCTACAAAAATGAATGCTTTATTTTGAAAGGTAAATGTAGATACTGATTTCAAACATTTATATGTTTTACAGATGGCTAAGTCAGGTGACTTTTTTGGAACAGTTCCGAAATCCTTCCCAACTTCCTATTTAGCAATTAGAATTGAGCAAACTCTGTCCACTCCTTCCACTGTCTATAGTACCTACTACCATGTAAAGATGTGAAAGTGTGATCTTGTCAGATTTTGGAAGCTCAGCTGGGCAGGGTCTGGGTAGTATTATGATGGGAAACATCAGTGGGGAGGGAGTCTAAAGCAGGTATTGAAGTAGAATAAAGTGCATCATTTTGCTTGAGAGTGTTCCCAGAATGTGATGACACTCGTAGTCTGTAGAAATGTCAATTGAAATTTACAAGGAATACGAGACAAATGGAATAAACACAAAAAAACACTGTAGGAGACGGAAGCTGCTTGCTGCTTTGTAAAGTGTAATGGTCAACGCACACTATCCCTAAAACAATGCATAATTTACAAAATGATGAAGAGTCAAACAGAAGGGGTTCCCTTACTTATAATGAGTGTTTGTTTTCCCACAATTCATGATACCCTTTATAAAAAAATCATATTGTAATGATTCTGGTTTACAATAAAAGTAGCAAATGCATTCATTGATTTTTTCAATGAGTTTTAGAATAATTATTTCACGATTATCCAATGATTGTCTGGCTAGATCACAAAGAGCACAGTTTAAGTGTTAATTGTTATAATGAGGTGAATACAATTAAAGTGATAGTTTGGAACTCTAAAAGAATTACAAATTTTAAGAATTGTATTTAATTGACCTCCTGGCCTTAAATATTGATATGAAATAAGTAATTTTATGAATTCTAATATTACGGAAAAGTCCCGCCTTCCCTTCTCTTAACTATAGCTCAAAATCCACGATGCCGTCCACGTTAACCAATCGAGTCATGCCAAGGGCTGTCAATCATCGGCGCTGATGCTCGTAGCTGCGCGCATGCTCAATTGTTTGTTTTCACAGAGCCTCCAAATCAAGCCTCTATTAGGCTCTGGAACTACATGAAAACTGAACAAAGAATTCTAGACATCCGCGCTGAGTCCCCCATTTATATACTGAACCTATATCCATAATCAGATCCTCTGCAGATGTGTCCTGAAATGTTCAATCAACGTTAATAACTACTTCTGGGTTTGCCGCGATTGCTTTTTTTGTGCATTAAAACATTATTTTTGTCATAAAAACGTTAACAAATAATTTTGAAAACCTCTGTGCATGTGTATTAATAATGTATATGTATAATGTGTTCTCAGATAAACATTTAAATGTGTTACAAAAACGTAGGCGTAGACCAATCAGAAAGAAAGGGGGAGGGAGCTTGCGTCGTTTTTTTCAAATCCCGTACCTCTCCCTCTTTTTTCTGACAAACTCCAGACAATCACTTTAAACTACTCTGAGGCAAAAAATCTGATAGGTGCATCCCTAACCCGACTTGCCCAGTTTGGTGTCCGTGGTGTAATTGGTGGTGGTTAGAGGAGCCAATGACTCAGATTGGCAGCCTCCTTATCATAAATTGACCCCATGGCAGCTGTGGCTACAGTAGTAGTTTACCACTTCTGTGTACAGAGTAAATGAATAATGTTTTGCGAGGTGCGAGTGCCTAAAAACCATGTTAATCTTCCCCAGACCACAGTGTCCTAAACTTTAATGTGTCAGCATAAAAACGCAGTCTGAAGAAAGCAGAAATCATTATGACTAATTCATTCAAGTTTGGCAACACATACATATAGTTATTAATTTTCTATCGAACCATATGAATTTCCCATTGAGCTATAGTCTCCTCTCTCAATTTGAAAATATGACGTCAAATGGTAGCATGTGGTGAACCATTTCTCTCTAGTGTCTGCGTCTCCATCATGCGGTCCTCCTCCCCCGTGTCCCCCCCAGCCCCCGCGACTACGTGGCACACACCGTTGCAGTGACAGTCCCACATTAGTCATCATCAAAGACCCACAGCTCGCTGAGTGTGTACCCTAAAGACTGCTGCTTAAGCTAATGCGCTAACAAACGCACCATGTAAATCCACTCGCCCTCCCCCTAGGTCTAAAAATAGCTAATATATATATATATATATATATATATTAAGCATGAAATGATACCACTAATATCTAAGATGACAGACAAGAGTGATCGTATATGCTGTAGATGATAGCACACACAAAAGATGAACAAAAAACCATGGAGTATGTGTATGAGGAATGGTATTAAACACGAAACATGGCGCTCAATCTGATCCCACACGAGCGTTTCATAGCAGCATATGACTAAATCGACGGAGCGCCACTCGCAATGTTACAGGAGAGGTGACTTGTGGGCGTGTAGCGTTCAGCCAATCACAGAAAGCAGAAGACAAAAAAGCACAGCAGTGGACTAGAGGTAATTCAATAAACGGGGAAAATCTATGAAGGCTGATATTGATAAAATTCAGTAATACCACACAGTCTGTTTAACAATCAAATAACAGCGCTGTCTTGTTTTGTGTCTTTTTTTCGCTAACGGCGCAAACAAAGCTTGATTCATATTTGTCGGCAGTCGGTTCAAGGCCCAAACAAACCGGTTAACCTAGTGCTAAATTGATTGAAAAGATTAATGGTATGTGCAGCAATAAATATACAAAAATGTAGGTATTGAAAATCTGGCTTTAAATATCCAATAAAACATTATCAAACTTTATCTTGTCACTGATGAAAACTCACCTGGAAGGGAAAGATGTTGTCCCCTCGTCCCACTCCATCGTCGATCCAGGACTTGGGGTTGAAGGCGGGGCTGTTGCGTGGGTACTTCTGTGAGGCCACGTGGTTGTTCGGGAAGGTCTTTTTGAGCGGGGAGATAGAGTTTATGGGGGTCATGCCTCCGTTTAGCCCTCGGCGATAATCTCTGCCCTGAGAGCCACCCCAGCCTCCACCGCCTCCGCTGCCATAGCCTCCGCCGGGGCTCCAGGACGTGGACGAGCCGGGGGAGGGCGAGGGGCTCTGGTAGCTGGCGGGGCCCCAGGGGGAGGGAGGCTTGTTCAGGCTGTTGGACAGATGCGGCAGCTGGTTGAAGGGTGCGTTCCGGTGGGAGAAAGGTGGTGGTGGGTGCGGTGAGGCAGGGGAGCGGCGGTGCTGCTGGTGCTGGCTGTGCGGGTGTTGGAAGTGATGCGGCGGAGGAGGAGGCGGGTGGTGCTGGGACAGGGCCGCGGGGCCAATCTGTGGGGAGAAGTTTCCCCCGAAGCTTGGGCTTACGTGGTGCGGGAAGTTCTGGAAAAGCAGCGGGCCATTGTTGGCAGAGGCCGGGTTAAAGAAGCTCACGTCCTCATTGATGATGGTGGAGGGCGCAGGGGGGATAGCGGCTGACCAGTTGTTGAACCCGGTCAGAGATGACGAGGTGGTGCTGGACTGGACCTGCCCTGTGCCTCCAAGGCCTGACTCCTGGTAGTCAAACCCAGTTAGCACTGGAGACTCCAGACGCAGCTTCTCTTTGCCGTTACTACCGTCAGAGTTTCCGTTCTCAGTTTTAGCCTCGTCTGAACGCGCCTTTTCCAAATCTGAAATGATTCCTCCGCCACTTCCCCCGTCCTGATGATTCCCAGGAGACAACTGCTGCTTTTCTTGCGTTTCTTGCATTTCCTGTTGCTGTTGCTGCTGTGCTTTGGGCTTCTCTCCGAGGATTTCATCCTGCACACTGCTGTGGGTGGCTGAGGCAGGGAAGAGCCAGGGGGAACCTCCCGTGGAGCCATTGCCTGCGACTGTGCTGCTGTTTATGAAGGCGGCGGGACTCTGAGAGACATTTTGGTGATGGTGTGGGGGCGGCAGGTGTGCGTGGATTCGGACTGGGAATGTGGACTTGTTGCCAGTGTTGTTTTGAACTAGGACTCCAAAGCCGTAATCCCCCATTTGTTTTCTGCCCCCACACACAAATGCAATCCCGTGATCGTTCGGACCTACAGAGACAAGAATACACATACTGCCATGAGTTAGCAGAAATCCCCCACTATATTTCACATGACAACGACCAGAAGATTAAATATTTCCATTGTAGGATAAAATACGTTATTGCTGAGGGCCTGTTAGTTAGCTATCTCAGACATATGATAATCACACAACACTGACAATGAATGAGCTCATTCTTTAACTGAACAATATTCCCCTCTTACAGTGATCTGTGGAGAAAAAAACAGCCCAGTTAGCGTTACATCTCTGGCTAATTATAACCCCGTGACGTTGCCAACTTCTAAGACTACAGCTGAGCTTCTGGCAGCTCTAATGCTGCGAGTAACACTGCTGTGCAGGACCCACACATTCCTGACTTAAATACCCTCCACCAGCGCACAGACAGACACTCAAATGAACCAGAGCCCTGCCCAAAGCAGAGCATAGCAACACTAACAGCAACAAACCATATGAATATAATCAATTATTAAGTAGTAAGTAGTATAGTAAAGTCCTCATCCCCCACTGAAATAAGCTGAACATTCGAGCTTCAGACAGGTGTCACTTGACCCATATACAATTTCCCATAATGTCATCAAATGCAACTACAAGATTTTTCTTTCAATGATTTTGTATGTACCCAGAGTGTCTTTACTAACACCAGCCTACACCAGCCTACACCCATGACTACGCAGTAGCCTTCACCTTCTGCACACTTCAATAAAGGCAACACTCCAATGTGGCTCATCTGCTTCCCTATTTGGCCTATTCTGCTAATCAGTTAAAATGTATAAAAATATACTGAAACCGGTTAAACGTTATGTTACATTAGACGTCAAAAAAGCACAAGTGAAGCATATGCATTACGAGTACTGTCAGATCCAATAGATAGATTACTATAATCCTTTATCGCATTGTCCCACCTACTTGTCATTTAAGACATTATCAGCTGAAGGACACGACAGACAGCCGCGTGACAAAGCCCAAGAACAACATAAAGGTTCTTACGTTTACAGACGTTAACGTTCATCTTTAAACTGTCGACCTTGTTTGACAGCTGTCACGAGATCTATAGTTTGTCTTTCACCTTTACAGCTAAAAACTAAAGGAATATTAATTATTTAGCTATGACATCGTCACGGATGGCTCGATAGTCGACAGTCACACCCTTTAATTAAAATAAAATATCTACTTGTCAGTTTGGTGACGTTTTCAACCCATGCTAACGTAAGTTAGCTTGTTAGCTGCTAGTAGTTAGCAGCTGGGCTAGCTTTAGACTGGATACTAGAGAATAAAACCTCCTCACCTTGTACGATGTCTCCGCAGCAAGCCTTCCCCTCGGGGCTGAGGGCGAGGTGATGTCCTGAGGACGAACACAGCAGACAAACCTTTTGGACGATGGAAAGAGCGGAGAGCTGACTACAGTGCAGTCTTTTTTTTTCTCCCTTCTCCTGACGTGTCCTGCCTGCTCAATGACACGGCTCCTAATCTGGACTAAAGCATTAAAATATATTTATGGCAGCGCCTGAACTACACTCGTCTGCTGCTGCGTTACAAGCTTTTCTCCATCGGTTTCATTGTCCGCTTGATTCCGTTCTTTTTTTCTCTTGTTCTCCTCCTACAGAGCCAGCCTGATCTGTGTGCTGCTCCTCTGACCGCGGCCGAATGACAGCGACAGAGCAGCAGATCCACGCTTCCGCCTCTACGCACGCCCTCGCGCATAACCCCGCCCACAAGAGCCACACCTCGCCTTGTGATTCGCCCAGAGCCCTAGTGCCCCGCCCAGGTTTTTTACCATTTAAAGCCCCCGCACCAATGACACGCACGGGTGGACTGTACGCACTGCCCACTGAGGTCAAGAATTAAAGCCCAGGGGAAAAAATCCGTTCGCCGTGGAGCTGTCCTTTCACGACGCAAGCAGCAGCCCGGCATCAGGTCGTGAGAAAACCGAGATACCCAACCCCCCTCGGAAGGAGAGCTGAGTGAGACTCGAAAAGGGAGCAGAAAGAGCATCCTACCCGGGCTTTTATCTCGTGTGCTGTTGTAATGTGGAAATGAAACGAAGACGGTACATAATAGATGGTTTTGTCCTTTTGTGTATCTAGTACTTTCCAGCACAGACCAATTAAGAATGAAAGATCCTCATTTCCAATTCTTCCCTGGTCCATCCCTCCATTTACATTATAGTATTATTCTTTACAGGCAAACACGCAGGCGATACTATTTGCTCTTGTCAGCACTTTCTTTTTGCATTGCAGCTGCTGAGCGCATCATCACGAGCAGAGAGTAATAGCTACCTGGCTGGCCTGACAAAATCAATAACTACAATCAATATATTGGGTTGTATTGATTACATAATGGCAGGACCAACCATGTGGTTGAATGACCATGAATAATGTTCATACTCTATACAATATCTTGATTGTACAATACAATATAAAACATCAGACATACTTTTATTAAATTATATTCAATATCCGTCAGATACTGAATTAGCTGCACGTTGAATAAATATATATATGAGGTATCATGTGTACAACCGTGATCTAAATACCTACACAATGCATTATTGAAAAATGAGACGTGGTATTTTCAATAGTTTGGTAAGAAGTAGACCTTAACTTTATCTATAGTCAAGATATAAAAATAACACCTTCAAAACTCATTCAGTTGAGATGGATAATCAAGGTACACACTGAAGTGATTGTACAAGAGTATGAACAAATGTTGCTCATATATCTGAAGTATATCTCAACAAAGCCTCATACGTTACCTCCACCCACCAGGCTGGAAAATTAACTTGTAACAAGCTTTCAGACAGGTAAAAGTTTGATGGATTCACATGCTTGTGTTTTTGTATTGGTGTATTCAATTCATTTATTTTGTAAATCCCTAAATCACAACAGCAGTCTAAACAAAGTTGTTGATTCGCCAACACAGATCAGAGAATCCAACAGTTCAAACACAGAAAATGTAATAATAACAAACATGTTGCCATTGTAGAGTGCTTTGGTTGACCTTGGTCTGAAAAAAATTGCTATGGCCACACGGAGCAGGACTAAGTTAGGAAGGTGGGTATCAATTCCCCATTCCCAGAATTTAAATAAATGTATGAAAAAAAACTTATATTTATGTATCAAAATAGTGTATTAACCACATCCAGGCCTGAAGTGAAATACTGAAGGGAAAAAGTTCTGGTAAATTTCATACTCTTTACTTCTCTTTCATTATGCTGGCTTTTAAGCATTTGATACCACCCATTTTCTATCTATCATCTAATTGAATTATAGACCAAGATTTAATTATGTTCTTTAATTTGACTAAACGAAACCGGACACATACAGTTCTGTGAAAAGAAGCTGAGATGTTTTGACAGTCAGCTTGCTGCAGTTTGTTGAATAACCTAAGGGGAGAGTTGCCCTTTAGTCAGTTTTCATATACCAGCTCATATTTCTTCTATGCATAATTAGCTATATTGATTAATTCATTTGAAAGATTATTCATATGCGTCTGTGTGGTTTTATTTTCCAGTAAAGTCATAGGAAACATAATGGGATATTTAAGTCAGGTCGGATTCAAGCAAGAAAACATGTTATTACTTTAGAAAAAAACATCAAGTATTCTAACTCTTCCCCAAACCAGGTTTCATTTTGCAGCCAAATCTATAAACCGGATGGAAGTGTTCTAAAACAGCTCAGGCTTTTGATAGACCACTTACAAAAAATCCTGAGCTCTTACTTTAGAGGGATCCTTTTTATAGCTGTGCTTCTGTACTGTTGTATTCGTTTATTCCCATGACTGATGTAAAATAGTAATTGAAAATATTACTAAAAGGTGCATTCCTCAACTGTCCTGCATGGTGGAGGGTCTGCTTTTCCTGGGGTTTATCTAAATGTAGACTCAGCTGAGTTACCTGTCCTATCTGTGGAGAGGTGAGTCTTGTAAAATTATCCATTATTTACAAATGTAATATTTTAAACCAAAGTGAGCCACACTTTAAGCAAAGCAATAACCGATAGATTATAACAAGCAGGTATCAGACCACTTTATAGTTATTATTATTATTTTATAATACATACGTCACGGTAAACTCGGATCCAATCGTTTCAATCTGCAAAAGGAGTTAACCCCTAACACCTGTTCACGGAGCTCAATGGTGCAAATCCAGACCTTATACAAAATGAATTGAGATAAGATTTTCCTTTATTTGTTCCACAGTGGGGAAATTTCAGTGTCATCTGATGTGCCATTACAACATAGAAAAAAAGGAAATAAGAGCATTCAGATTGCGGACGCAAACAGGCCTATTATTTAAGATAATAGATAATAACATTAAAATAGTTGAAATAAAAGTAATAAGATAGAATACAACTCTGGAGCTATAATTGCACTTGCTTCAGAGGTATGAGTACTATATGGTATGGTAAGACCAGGCTAGAACTTTTCCTATGTCACAATATTCTGTGTCCAAAACGATGCATGGTAGGGTTAAAAAGAACTCCTTTATAACCATGTACAGTAAGACAGTACTATTAATGTTGTGTGATGCAGGAACACAACGCCCAGTGGTACCTGTTATTTTCAGACCCATTGCATTAGATCTATTGCCAAATCCCATTTTAACTTTGTGCTGTAGTCTACCCAAGGCAATTTTTATATCCCCCCTAGATGCAGTAACACTGTACACTATATCTGATAACGCTGATGGGCTCTGACTTCACACATGCCCAGACCCCCAGATGTTTTGCTCCTTCCCCCTCTTCACGTGCCGCTATCCCCTGTACAACCCACCGTCCTTGTATGTGTCCTTCTATCTCGTATGGTCATTATCACCTGGGGGTCATCAAACAGCTTTGACTCCGTCTCCGCGGCGACCCTCCTTTGGCAGCAGGACATGGGCCCGCAAATGGCTATCTAATAAATCTGTCACTTCCAGTCCAGCTGCAGCTCAGTGATAAATTAGGGAATGGGGAGTTTGTGTTGGTAAAATGTGGATAGAAAGGATGAGCAGGTTAGCAGAGGTGGACACGGGTTACACATGCAGGTATGGGCGAGAGGAGGAAGTAAACGCCTTTAAGCGATCCGATTAAGAAATAGATTATGCCCGATAGTGACACTATAGGCTGAAAGCAATGTAAATGTGAGATACAAGTACAAACCAGAGAATTTCACTTTTCATTCAAGTTCATCAGTTGGACAAATTGACAAAAAGAGTAGCAGTAGCAAACATAAACATTTGAATATTGTGAAAAATGTATTACAAGAATATGTTATGGCACGATCATGCAGAAAATCATAAAGAAATATTTTGTAACATCCTGACTTGATTGGTCTGAAGTGATATTTTACATATTAAAAAAAAAATCTTTTAGCTGGTGTTGATTCTACTGTGAGTGAGCTGCACATGAACCAGATCCTTATGAGACAACAGCAGTGGTGCGTTTAAGAGCACAGAAAAAAAACATGTTTATATAAAAAATGTGCAAATTTGTCCAGTTATAGGCGACCATGGATCCTGTGCCCGCATATGAGTCCTTTGTAGTCTAAATAACTAACTAAAATAAGATAAATAATGGTTGTAAACACATAAGGTTTTCATAATCAGTGTTGAGGAGAAACTTTGAAAAGAATGAATACATACAGCTCTAACGATTGTGTTTGAATGCGCCGTCTTGAGCCGAGAATAATTCAAACGGCGGGATTTCCCACAGAGATGAATGACAGCAGCCAGTTCACGTCTGAGCCTGAAACTCTGAAAGTCACGTGACACCCATATCTGACAACCCGCTACAGTCCAGGATCATATACTACAATTTAAATATTATTCAATTTTTATTATTTGTTCAATTTTGTTTTATTTTTTTCAATTTCAATTCAAGTGTTTATTTGGGCATCAAGAAGATACAACCGAGAAGCACAGAAAAGACAATAGCCTTATTAGTATGTTGTATCCTGAATAGTGTTCTTGGTGCATGCACTCCCTTTCTCCCAAACACTACTCATAATCTTGTAAGCCATAATCATAAAAATTACAGTTATTTCACTCTTTATATGGACTAAAAAAAAGCACCTGCCAGTGTAGTCTCTTGCACACAAAGCAGCCAGGCTCCTGTGACCTGCCTGTGACCTGCAGAGGACTGGACTAGGAAGAATGACGTGATGAACCTTCTGCAGAATACTTTGATTTACTTCAATCCATATATTGATATGTGATGGGCTCTGATTCACTAATCACTAAATGTATAGGAACATATAAAAGGTACATAAATAGATAGATAGATGCTGCAGATAGATAGATAGATTCTGCAGATAAATAGATATAGTATATATAGATAGATAGATAGATAGATTTCCCAATAGGACAAAGCCATTTAGTCTTATTAAAAAAAATGTGGCTTTATTTTCTCCTTTCAAGTGAGACGTTTCTTGTATCTTTTTAAAACGAGATAATTTTGCTTCTCCCGTTTGCAAACATTATTCTAAGGCAGTCAAAATCTGCTCAAATCCAGATACATTTAGCCACATTTGAGCAATTTTTTACTGTTTTGCATCCCTTTTTGCCGTGAGATATATACTTTATTGATTTCGTAGGAGATATTCATTTGTAGGTATTACTTCATCTTGGACAATGACATTGTCGCTGTCCAATTATATTCAAATGGAAATTAAGTATGTGGTTTTTGATTAACATTCAACGGCATTGTTTCCTTAATTAAGAAAAC